GCCGCCGCTCCTGCCGGCCTCCGCCGCGCCCGGCGCTCCGCCGCAGCAGCCGCTGCCGCTGCCCGGTGCGCCACCGCCGCAGCCGCTGCAGCAGCCACCGCCGGTTAGCTCCGGCCCCGTATCGACCGTGCCGGCGGGAGTCCCGCTCCACCAAGTCCAGTCCCCGCCGTCGCCGTCACCGCTTCCGTCTTGGATCGCTACCCGCCACGTGTCGGCGGCGGTGAGGCTGCAGGCTACTGCGCGCGGCCTCCTAGCGCATTGGCGTGTGCGGGAGATGCGTGGTCTGCAGCTGCCGCTCCTCCAAGTTGCCCTTCGCTGCGCAAAGGACCTCGATCTCATCCGCTGCGCCGGGGATCTTGGGCATGCGGTTTCCCCCACGGGCAGCGGGCATGATGTTTTCCCCACGAGCAGCGACCTCCAAGTCTGCGACATTGGCGGTTGGGGGGGCGCACCCCTCCTCGTCATTCTCCATCGCAAGCCCCCCACTCTTTCCTGTGCGGTGCAGACCAACAGCCGTCCGACAGGAAGAAGGCATGGTGTCACCGACAACAACGCACCACGTAGCACCACTGCATTCCGTCACCGGGCGCCGCAAGGGCGCCTCTGCTGGTCACTCTTGCGACCACTTCCAGGTGGCCATACACATGCACTCCTTTTGTCCAGATGGTGTCCATGGGATCCAGGTGGCTGTACACGTGCACGTCCGACGTGCGGATGGTATCCACTTTTTGTTAAGAGGTCCAAAATAAATTGTCCCAGTCCATTTCAGGTTGAGAATAATAAAACAAGCCGAGATGTAAAAGGCTTGTTTTTAGGTGTTAGGTTTGGGTTGCGTCGAGTCATGGTTATAAGTTGGTTAGGCTGCAGCTTGAGGACAAGCTGCATGTCCAGGTGGGGTGTAGTGTTAGAGTACATAATGGGCCTAATGGACCCGTTAGTCTTAGGGTTAATTAGAGATAAGAGTCGCTTTCTTAGGGGTCAAGTAAGCCTTGCTTGGGAGTCAAGTAAACCTCTCTATGTAAAGAGAGGAGATGTATCAATCTAATCAAGCAAGAATTAAGAAGGAAATCCCTTTCATCTTGCCCGGCCGTGGGCAAAAGGCCCCCGGCCGGCCCTCTCGCGCCCTCCTTCTAGCAGCGCCATAACAGCAACCTTTTAGAAAAAGACATTATTTGGCTTGCATTGAATTCCAAGAGCAAATATTCGTATTGCAGAAGTTGGTGTAATCCTGTTAATCCATCTTTTTGCAAGTTGAGTTTTTCCTGGGTATCTTCACACATTCAGTCAATAGTATGCTCTGAATCATGAAATTGTTCTCAACATTTTGAACATGGTAGTAAAATACTGACAGCAGAAGAGAGATTACATTAGTTCTACAAGATTTCAATTTGTTTCTTAAACATAAGTTCCATTTCTGGACAATCCTATCAACACAAGATAGTACATTAATTAGTTGAGCCATGATGTATGTAACAACCACGCGGAGATATTGATCACACGGTGTCCTGGGCTGAAGCTGTTGGAGTGCTTCCTCAAGATGTCAAAAGGATACCCTTCAACCTGATAGCGGCGAGAGGATGGCAATCTGTTACGACCTAACGTATGATTGGGTTAGATGTAGCAGCGAATTGGGGATTTCAAAAACAAGAGCAGGGGCAGGAGAAGAGAACTTGGGGAAGAAGAAGAACGGACAGAGGGGATGGATTCATATGTTCATATCTTCTTCGATGAATAGTGATCATACACGGCTATGGCTTATAACAGCGCCAACTCACCCACTGACCACTGGGCCCACACCCAACAACTCCAGACCGCGTTAACTGGTCTCCCGCCTTCGCATGTCTCTTTAACTGCTTTGAACATCTTCTGTTTCGTCAGACATTGGCCGAACACCATCCTCTGCTTCATCGGTCCATTGATCCTTACTTTGCTTGGTTTCACTTCTGACTGCCCTATGCCTTGCGCCTTTATGAGTGTCTGCCTTTGTACTGTTTGTTCAAAAAAATGATTTGACATCGGTCCGAAAACTTTACTGAGATACATATAACTTTTTGTTGTGTGAGAGAAGGGACAACTACTTCATCCAGTTGTACTATCTTATTAATTTTTCAAACCACTTATAAGAGAACTCATGTATTGTGGACCTTGTTGGTCCACATCGAGACTTCATACCTTCGCTAAAAAAAACTAAGCAGGGCTTTCAGGTCACGAGGCTGGTTTAGCTTCTACTCCTCTAGACAACCTCTAGGCCAGGCGTGAAGGGATGAGGACATCAACCAAGTAGGTCTTGTATATAGCCCGCAGATACGAATGAGGTGGCTAGAGTTTGAGAGAGAAGGGTGGTGGTTGGAGATTTACCTAGTCTCCTCGCCTCCTGCTGTCATCTTGCCATTTGTGAGGCGAGGGGACCTTGCTTTTGAGAGATTTACGGTCTTTGTCAGCATATTCAAGGCGCTTGCGCTTGGACCACTACGAGAGGCCTTTCTAAGCTGAACTGGGCTTTGGATCTCTCATGCCTCTTGATCCTCCTCTCACCTAAGACATGTTATTTCTCGTTGGATTGAGTTTTTCACATCAATCTCCTTTGTGGATAGTGTGTGAGTCTCTGTGTTTTTATCGAGGTTGTAGATGATAGTAGTGAGGTGCTGCTTTTCTTTTTCGTATACCCCGCTGAAATGTTTCACCCTCCAATTAGGAATTGTCGTGTGGTGCAAATTTTAGAATTCCATCTCTGAATCGTCATTCCACCTACGGAGTGCCTTTCACAAATTCTTGATAATATCCGCAAAGACATCCTGCTGTAACCATCGAACTCGAATTTTGTAAGTCAAAAACTATGAGTTGTGGGATTACATTACTCAATATTTGGCTACAATGGATTAGTAATAAT